CAGATATGGTTTCTCAATGGCGAGAAGGGTCCGAAAGGTAAGAAACTGAGAAACGAAATTCTGGCGGACACTGCGTCCAGCCGATGTAAAATTGTTGTTTACCGAGTCCTATTAATCGTTTGTTGAAACTACCACCTTTTTAAGTTTAGACTGAGAAACGGGAAATTTAAAGGTTTTTGGAAACTTTTTCAATAGCTTTTCTCTTTTTGAAAAATCAATGCAAACGCTTCAGCTCGACATAAAGGATTAACAGATTGCATCAATAAAAAAAAGTTGGGAAGTAGATATGGATTCTTTTGGATACAGTAGCTCAACTTATACAATTTTGAGTTCAACTATTCCCTCCCAGTCCTTTCAGCTTACTTTTATTTTATTCTGGCTACACATAACAAGAAATAGGCTTCAAAGCTAGTTAAACTTCAGAATTTGGCAATTTTTTGGTAGCTTGTTTTCAAAAATTTAGATTCTAACCTGTACAACTTTTGGAGAAATTTCATTCATTTCAATGTTTTGTCGATCCAACTCGTAAAAATTCAAACGTGGAGTTCAAAACTTCATTTCGCGTAATCTAGAAAATCTGCATACTTAGTTTTATGACAAGTGAGATTGTAGAAATTGTTTGGAAATGAGACAATATTTTACTTTACATAGACACCATGTATAATATATCTAACTTCTCAAGTTTTCTGAAATTTTACTCTTGAACTGTTTGATTCTTAAGTACGGTTTTCGTAGAGCTGAGTCAGACTTCGCTATCTTAGGTTAGAAAAAACAGAAGAAGCAAACATTCAACTGAGGCGAATGCTTAGTGACACGGACAGAGCTTGCAAAGATCTGCAACAAGCCAGTCAAGTGAGTTTGTTACGCATTTTTTTGAATCGCTAATTGTCTGCAATTACGTCCGGCACTTACAGTTGGATGACGAGCCTCGATTCACACTTGCCGAGTTGCGAGAAGTGTTGCAAGAGAAAAACGTGCTGAAGGGTCGAGTAATGGAGTTGGAAGAGGAGTTGGAAAATCTTCGGCCGGGACGAAAAGAGCGAGAAGTGGAGGATTTGTTAAGGTTTGGGTTGTTTGTGGTTCGCTGGTCTAGCAGAGGGAGAGCTTCGTTTTGGGGTCTAAATAGGGTTTACTGTTGATTTCTTTTCGAGGGTAGGGAACTTTATGTCTTCGATAGGCCGTGGGACGTTCGCGGGGCCACCTTTTTTCGGCGACATGTAGTCCTCTACCCCTTTTCGGGTATAATGTTTATGGTTAGCAAATTATTAGCTTTATATGGCTTCTTATATCGATTACCCAAATAGTGATTTAAACATTCTATGAGGGAGGGGGTGGGGGGACTCGAAAATGAAGTGGTCCAAATTGAGTGTCAAATCATGTAGGTAGTATTTTTGTTTGCGAAAAATGAAAATTTCAGAGTTGTGAGTAAGCTTTAGGTTCTTAAACTTTCTCAAAGGGTATGGCTTAGATCGAGCTTATTTTTTCAACCTTTAGCCGCGAAGTTTGCAAAAAAATAATATTTTCCCGTATGAGATTAACACCTGTTTGATAAACTGAGAAAAGCTGATTCGATGAAGGAAGTTCTGTAATCCTCCTT